TAAATGTTAACAAGATACTCCAACCACAAATAATGTCTTTACAACGAAAAACTACTTACTTTAACAAAGATTCAATGAGAACATGACAAAAAATACAGAGCACATTAAAAATACAGTATATATTTCTAAACTTTTAACACAGTACAACCTATGTTTGAGAGGACAAGTACTCTTGGAAAGACATGGACATACCACTTAACAATCCTAATCAATAACTTTCTTTAAAAACATAAGGAAATGACAGTATGACAGTATTTCCCTTCATTCTCAACTACTATTAACCTAAAATACGATACACTGACAAAGTAACTTATGTTCTGAGTATACATATAAAAATACTAAATAAATATCGTGATTTAGGGTATTTTGGGCCCACCTCCTTTCAATACCTAACAACTAAAAGACCATCAAATCAACGAAAAAAATCTTTCCAAACTTTTCTCTTTACCTAACTTCTAAATCTTTATAAAATTTTTATGCTGTAAAGAAAAAAAATATCAATACCATTAATTTTTTTCCCCAAAACTGTTTAAAGCCACACACTTCACTAATTAAAGTCTATCATAGATGGATGTTAAACAGAAGTGTGAAGAAGTGGTGCCCAAGAATTTTGGTACTGGTAAATACCAAAGAGTAGCTGGTGGCCTCGAACCATGTGCCTTTGGGATTGCGGCACAGCCTGTTACCACTGGACCACCAGCAGCCCCAGGTCAGACCCTTCTTTCTCTGTGTCCATGGCAGAGTGAAAGTCGTGGGGAGGATTCTATCCATCCTGGGATAGTCATCAGTCCTGGTGAGAGGTGGTCAGTTCAGGACTGCGGTGGGAATTCGCCTGTGCCTCTGGGATCATGGGATGACCCGTTTTTAGAGGGATGCTGTGCTGTCCTGAGGAATTGCCTTTTGGTCTTTTACATGGTCTCAGTTCACTAGCCTGGTTGTGTTCTGTTGGGGTGGAGCTCCCTGATTAAAACAAGCTTGGAAGGAGGAGCGGCATCCACTTCTGTAACAGCTTGCCTCCTGAAACCCTATGAACCTGGAGAGAGGATGAAAGGCACCCAAGCGTGGAGGGCTCTCCTTCATAGGGTCACTGAGCTGCTTGCGACTCGACAGCATTTAACAACAACAACAAATATTAGTGAGTATACCAGAGACTGGCAGAATTGTGTTAACAAGTTTCTCTTTGAAGAAGTACAACCAGAATGCTCCTTAAAAGCAGGGATGTCAATAGTTTATCTCACATAATTTAGGCACATTATCAAAAAAGACTAGTCTCCCATGGAGAAGGCCATCATGCTTGGCAAAGTAGATGTTCAGCAAAAAAAGACAACCCTCACTGAGCTAGAATGGCCCTGTGGCTACCAATGGGCTCAGGCACAGCAACAGCTGGAAGAAGGGTACAGGGCCAACTAGTGTTTTGTTCTGTTACACAAGTAACTACTAAGTCGGAACTGACTCAACGGCACCTAACTAAAACAACAAAAGGGTAGTGTGTGTAAATGGTTAACAAGCTGGGCTATTAATCAGAAGGTTCAAGTTCACTCACAGACATCCGGAAAGAAAGGCCAGTTGATCTTTTTCAAAAAAACTTAAGTAAATGAAAACACTAAGGTGTACAGCTCTAGTTTAGCACTCGCACAATCCCCCTTATGCTGGAATAACTCGATGGCCAAGTTGTTATTGCTAGGAGCCATTCAGCTGAAGACAATTCACAGCAACCCTATAACCAAGATCTAAACCCTGTCCTATCATACAGCACCATTCTCATCAACTCTTGACATATCTGAGCACAATGCTGCAGTCACTGTGTCAATCAATCTCACTGAGGGTCTTCCTCACCTTCACTGACCTCCATCTTTCCAAAGCATGATCTCCCTTTCCAAGGAATAGCCCCACCAATACTGGTAAATCATCCTGGGTATATATTATACAAAATGATATAATAATTAAAGACTAGAATACTAGGAAAAAATTTAAGTGCAATCTTCACCTCTGAAAAATTTTATTTTGTAGAATTTTGTTGTACTTCACTCAACTTTTTTCTGGGAAGTACACACATCTATTTCTTTCCTAAAGAGGAATTAAATGTGTCACATTCTTTGACAAGTATGTAAATAAAATCATATCCAAAGCATAAATTAATGGAATTCTGATTAAGTCACTAGTACACATGAAAGTATTAGGTTTCATAGATTTCATGCAATATGAATTTATATATTCTAGAATTATGAATAAAGAAGCCAATTTAATAAACTATACCACCACCATAAAACTAACATTCTCACCTATGCATCAGTAAATTTAAAGATAGTTACACCGTCATCTTTTATATATCTAAGATAAATTCACAACACAAATTCAAACTTACCTGTCACATCCTTAAATGCTTCCAGTAAATAATATTCTAAATTCATGCTCACAGACAAAAACTCAGCCTTAAAGTTTCTCTTGTATCTCTTATAAAGGCATCTAAGGGATCAATAAGGAACTCTGGTGGAAAAGTGGTAGGGAATTGCGCTGCAGACCCAAAAGCATACAGTTCAAATCCATCAGCTGCTTCATGATAGAAAGATGGGCAATCTCTTCCCATGCAATTTACTGTTTCTGAAAACCCACTGAAGAGCCAGTTATGAGTGAGTTCTGCCTCGAAAGTACACAAGAGAGGATTTAGCAGCCAAGATCAAAAAAGACATTAACACTGGATACTTTTCCACAGATATATCATATGACCTTTAAAACACAAAGCACAGCATACTTGATTTCTTAAGTAATTTAATAGTTATAGTTATATAGGTGCTATCTTCCACTCAAAAGACTCTCAAGTCCCTTCAAACAGACAAAAGTATCTGGATATTTTATATTTAGTCCATCTCCATATTATTTCTAAGTGACAACTTCTCCCAGTTTTCTAAGTCTCATATTTTAGGCTTGTCCTGGTCTTTAATCCTTACACAAAGAATACGCTTTAAAAAACTTAAAAATTTAAAGACACCATTTACAACAGCTGTCAGTCATCAAAGGAAAGTAGAGATGTTGTCAATGTCGTTATTCACAAGCAATCCCCAAGTCTTATTTCTCATCTAATCATTAACTATAATGCATCTTCTGTGAGCTTACATGAAATCTCTTATAATCAGAGAAGACTAAAAGACTAGAAAAGCTTTATATTTTGTACAAAGATTCTATTTCCTTTATAATAACCCTCAGTGACCTTGTGGAAACATCCCTGGGTTAAATGTATAAAGCATTATTTTCTCAAAAACTGCAAAACTAAACTATTGCTCTAAGGGCATCAACACACCTACTGGACTCAGTAGATTTATGCACGTATTCTAGCTTGTGACATTTGCAGAAAACCAACAGAAATCTTTTAAAATATTTGACCTTACAGGCAATTTAAAAATATTTGAGAGTTCTAAATTGATAGATCTTTTTACGTTTCATAGTCGGAAATATAAAAACACACTCTGCAAGTTAAGCAATTCTTCCAGAGAGCAAATTTAACTTGACCTCTCTAAATGGCTACTACAGATTTTACACACCATTTAGAAAGCAAGGAAAAGAAAAACCCAAACTTTGATTTACGTAATCTCCAAGGCAGCAACGTTCAATAGAAATATAATTTAAGACATACATGTAATTTTAAATTTTCTACTGAACACATTTAAAAGGCAAAAATAAATTTTATAGATTCAAGATTATCTCAATGTATAACACAGATGTAAAAATATTGAGTATCTTGCAATTTTTTTTACACTAAACCTTCAAAATCTAGTGTGTATTTTAGACTTAAAATACCCATCAATGTAGACTAGTCACAATTCAAATGCCCCACATGGTAGAGGATTACATTAGACAATATGTTTAATGATTTGATATTTGACCTGTTCAAAATTAATTTACATTCGTGTTTCCTTTTGAACTGAAATACTGTGATTACAAATACACTGAAGCAAAACTATTAATTCATTGGATAAACCCGGATCAGATCATCGCTTTATCTGAGGATCTAGTTAACATACACAATAAAAAGCAACTGGATTATTCCCTATTATATCTCAAATAAGGTTCAGAAATAGGTCCAATCACAATTACTAGTGAATCCAAATTACTGCAAATTCACAGCTAAGATAGCCAAATATCTTTGTTTCAAACTCTAACACTCCTTATTTCTAGCAGCCACTCTTAATACTTTAGTTAGCATACATTTCTCTGCAAACGATCTACAAGATAATTTCTTGTTTTATGACTTCGGGTAGCTGTATGATCTACTTAAAACACACAAAGAGGAACTTAAAAAAAATCCCTTAACACAACAAAAAACCATGCCCAAGGACTACTTTTAAAGTGTCTGACAGCAACTAATAATCTTTTGCTCCTGAAATTCATTCTCCTCCAATCTCAATTCATTTATAGCTTTTCATCTCTTATTTCAACTACTGAAATCATTAAGTATTTTTCCGAGTAATTAAGACATTTGCCTAGATGTAAATAATTCCAACAATGCATTCTCTAGAAAACAACTAAATCCATTAGCTTAGCACATGAAATTTGTCCTTAAGGCAAGTCACTGAATAAATCACAAACAACTATACTCTTGTTTACTGCATTTACATTTTGTAACGCCACATGCAGCAATTTCTAAATTTGGAAAGTCAGATCAGATTTTACACAAGTAGAAAAACTTCAAGGCTTAACAAAATTTCAGAAGTTTTTGTAATGTATACATATATATAAGGAACGTCACAGAAATACTGCTGAACAAAAATCAACATCATTCATACTAATCTCAGTAAGCAGCATAACGTCAGTATAAATACATGGTATATGCTAAAATATATTTTCCTTCCAAATGTTATTTAATTCCTCTTAAAAAATTATTGTTTAATTCACTGGAAAAGCTGCAAAGCAGCAAATGTTACTTCTAGTGGCATGCATATTCAGGCATGAAACATTAAAATCTTAGTAATTTTCCACAATGTGAAATAAAGTCTGTTTCTTACCTGCAGTTAGGAGGAGGATCAAGGGTTATTTCAGCTAGCTCCTTCTGAATTCTGTTAGTGAAATGAGAACAGACAAAAAGCATTTGAGATATCTACAGAATAACCGGGGAATTACACTGCCCTCTACCACCACGCAGTTAAATGCAAGGCTGGCTTTGCCTTCAGTAATGCTAACATGGCTGCTTCCTCTTTGTTCTCAGAGGCATAACCCAAATCCCTCAACAGAAACTTTGCAGCTTTTTTTCTCACTTGTCACTGTAAATAAGTAAGACAATTACACCTGATTTGGGAAATAGTCCTCTACTAATACTCAGCAAAGGATAAAAAATTTGTTTTAAAACACTTTTTACCAAGGAAATTCTCTTTTCAAGCTTATATGCAAATGAGACAAGGAGGGAGGAGGGAAAGCGCTAGAATATTTGACAATGACTCCAAGTCACTTTTACTGAGGTTAAGAATTAACAAGAATACATGCACAATTCTGACAATATTTTATCTGTTAAAGTTTAAAATTTACAAATATCTTTATCAGTGACAAACTTAAAAAAGACTCTTTGACATTGTTATTTAACCTCATTTGTTGTTCCTGATCTATCTTAAGTACAGCATTTAAATTTGACAAAGTTGGGGGTAGGAAGATAACCTGCTTTAAGAAGAAAACAACCCAGCTATCGAATTTTATTCAAATATAAAACTATTCAAAAACTTAAAAATTTGTTTAACATGATCTGGAACAAGACCATAAAAAATTAAGATGGGTGACAATTTCTTTTCAAAGCCTGTTGCTAAGTAATAAAAATATTTTTACGTTATTAGTGCTCATTAATTATTAGACAACATAGAGATGAAAAGCCACAGGAAAAGAGGAGTATTTACAAATACCTATCACTACCAAATGCAATACTTGATCAGTTTTTATATTTTCTTTGCCCTTTAATATGAATAAAAATCAACCCAATGTCACTATGAATTTAACATATCTCTGGCCATGTAATTACTAGAGTTCATGGATGTTCTACAACTACCATCACTGACAGAGTCTCACTGATAGGATCTTTATTCCCTATTGCCGATAATATAAATCAACAGGGAACAAATGATCTTTCACTCAGACCCAACAAAATGTTTTTCCTGCTGTTAAAGACTAATGTACCAAGCATATTCTTAAGTTTTAGAGAAGAGGTACACAAAGACTATAAAAGTTTTCTACAGTCAAGTAGCATCTAAAATTATAAACATCTGCTTCATAGTTGTATGTGCCAGCCCAAGGACAGGAGTAACCATCATTTAAAGTCTACTTGAGGTGTATGGCTCAAAACCTTGTTTGTAAAACTTTCTGTGTAAGCACAATTTTAGACCTGCTTTCCCATACAGCCATGGCTTTGAACTTACAAATGTTCTAACAAATGTAATTATTTCTGATCAGTAAAGTTTCCTGGATAGGCTCTGCTCATCTCAAGAAGTGTCCATTTCAATGATGAAAAGTTATGACTGAAGAAAGGAAACACTTCCACTGCATCAACTAATTGGGGTTCATCAAGTTTCTCTTCACCAACTCCTAAACTATCAGAATATTAGCCCAATCTTTTAGTCAAGGGCATGCTTCCTGGAGTTCACTGAAGTACAAGAGTAAGTTTGCTCACCACTGTAATTCTATGGAAGTGGCTTATATACCACTAAAGAATGACAACTCATTCAAGTATAAATAAAACTGAACATGAAGTAAATATTTTTCAACAACTGCTACTGATGTAAATGCAACAGAAGTGAGTGTCTAACCCTTTGGAAGGCAGCCTGACAAATGTGCTTAACCCTTTCTTGACGTGTTTACCTTTTAGCACTAGTGGATAACTTAGCAGTGGTTTTGCTAGAGAGTTTGGTGTTTTTCTTCTGCTGGGTGGCAGAAGGTTTTCGTTCTTCTTGTTCTTCAGGCTCTGGAGCGGCTGGGTCTCGCTGGTCTGCATCTGAACTACCACTGCTGGTGCTGGGGCTCTCATCATCGGACCTTTGCCGATCACTGGACATCTTGGTGAAGTTATTTCTGGGAAAACTTTTACAGTGAAAAGGAGAGAAAAAATTAGAAACGTTAAGACTTTTTAAAAAGACTGCATTTTCTTTTCTTAAAATTCAAATCGTTTTGTCACGGAAAGCCTTCTAAAAGTGTTCGGTTATCATCCAGCAAGGTTACAGGGGAGGTGAGTGATGTGTCTCACCATGTCAGTGTTCAGGGGTTTACCGAACTCAAGTTAGAAAACCCACTCACATTTTTTTTCCCCATCCCTTCGACAATCTATCAATTGTCTACTTTCTCAGAAGGCATGAAACAGATTTGCCAAGGAACTTAGGCAACAAGCATTTATAACATATGACACACTGTAAATAACAGATCTCGCTGAAAAATGTTAAAAAGTCACTAATAACGTCTAAATATTTACACACTGACACTGGTCAAAGCTACCAAATTCCCTTTCCGAGAAGCAAACATACCCTGTTAATCGCCCATATGCTTATTTAACGTGGCGATACCTCGTCTATGCACGTAAGGCTTTAAACACAACACTCAGAAATTTAAAAATCAACTAACAAGCTGCTCTAGCCGTTTCCACGGCCAGCAGCGAAGATTCATCCGGCCAAGAGCGAGCTGCCACCCTGGGAAAAGCAGAATCCAAACTGCACCTTCTGCAAAGCTCCCAATGCCACCAAGGTTCCTCGCACAATTTTTACACCGCGGACCGACATTTTGTCCAAAATAACGAGGCGTGTGGGGGGGGGAAATCCAGAGGAAAACAAACAAACAAACAAAGCCCCAAGAAGTGCAACAAATTTCCGCGCCCGCGGAGGCGAACCGCG